GCAATAGTGCAGATTCATACTGTGCTTCATTGTCTTTTTTTTTTTTGTGTGTGCCAAGGAAGGGGCAAACGACTGTAGTAACTATGCAAATTCTCCAGTGCTGTGGGCTGCACAAGTGCAGAGTTCAGCTCACCTGTTATCAGGGTCTATTCACTGTTCAGCTGAACCCATACAGTGCCCAAGTGTTGTAGAACTTAATAGTGGGTCGTATCATAAGATTATTTCTCATTGAACACCTGTTTTACCAGAAGAGCCATCAGGTTTTCCATGTGCTTTGTTAGATTTCCAGTGAAGTTTTCCCTGGGAATATTGCAAACACTGGGAAGTTACATGGTCAGAAAAATCTTTGGTGATAAACTTCCCTATGAAGCTTACCCATATCACAAAAATTGTAGTGTTCTTGCAGCTATGAATCTGTCAGAACTTGGGATATTTATTTTTTCTTTCATTATGGGAGCCTTGTAGATTATATATTTGATAATCAGACCTGGTGAAATTTCAATCTTCAAATCTATTAGAAAGTCCAGTATTTGTAAGGAAGGTGAAGGATTTTTTCCTGAAATTTATTGATCACACTCTGGATTCAACAGCTCATAATTTTCCTGTGAAACATTACTGCAGTGGAAAATTCCTGATTATCTGTAGTGAAACAACATTTTCAGTTTCATTGATCAGTTTAATCCTTCCATATTCATATGTTTGCATGACTCTGCTTGCTTGCTCTCTCCCACAGCTTATTTTCTTTATGCTGAAGCAAGCTGTCCTATACATTCCAAACACGAGGGGTATTTGCTTTTGTGACAGGAAATCTATTGCACCACTTAAGTTTAATTAGAGCACAGTGACATATGATGAGTTCACACGTCAAAGCCTAGAAACAAGTTGACAAATTGGCTCTAGTTCCAAAGTATATTTTTGGCTCTGTATCGAATTGGGACATTTCACTGTATATTAGTGGGGTTATGTGAAATACAGGGTCAGGTTCTCAGGGTCAGTAGAACTGTACCCGTTCTTGCCTGCTAAGGATCCAGCCCCAAAAACCTGTGTGAAGTTAAAATTTAGGTTCAGATCAACTTGAATCTAACTGCATATTCTGGATTTCTATACCAGCTGATAATAAGCTGTATTCCCAAAGGTTCTGTGTGAGTAACGAGTTGAATCCAATGCCCAGCTGTAATTTGCACTGAGATTGGGGAGTTAAGTGTAGAGCCAGGACATGTTTTAATCTGCTACACGGTGGACTGAGGGATTAGTTTACATCTAGGTGCACAGATGCTCCTTCCACTCCACTCACTTGTAGCACTAGTTTTGTGCTGGGAAGTCACTGTCAGCAGCCACAGTGCCCCATCACTTACGTAACTGGAGCTCTCAGTCTCATATCTTTAACACATATGTGGGTTTATCTGTTCAAGAAATAGGACTTGCCACTGTAGCAATTTTTTCCATAAAAGCTTTTCATTATATAAGGAAATTTTAATGTTTCATAGATACTTTTTTAAACAGCTTCAGGAAGGCTTTATTTGAGTTGTAGATGAAGATGGGATCTGGATTCTACATTCAGGGTTATGGAGTGGGTTCATTTTTATCTACTGTTATTAATTTACATTTCTGCATATTACATGAAAGATGAGAACCTCTCCTGTATGGAGGATGTAACAATGCTGATAATGGCAAAAGCAATTTAAGCTGGTGCTTTTATTTAATTCATCCCTTATTTTCAAATATCCACTTTTCCTGTGATTATTAGACTGCTTTAGTATTTTGACACACTACAGGAGACAAGACTATTTTAAGAAGAAAAGTGCCATGTATCCCTTGTGTGGCGTTTAGTTTAACTAAGAAGAAAAGAAAAAAAAATGATTGGAACCAAAGATATTTCCTATGAAGCCCAGCATAGGTTTCATTGCAAAGGGAAACGATTTTATAGAGAAGAAAAGATTGGAAGAAAACAAGAGATGAAAGTTTTGAAGCCTGGGATTATTCCGATCTGTAATTTAAGATTAATTTATCAGATAAAGCCATAATTAGCACATCTTGGGTGCTTGGAAAGTGAGCTAGAAATTGAATTAGTCAGAATGAAACCATTTTGAAAAGTCATCTCTTTTTTTTTTTTTGGTCTATGTTACTGAAGTTTTTTTTTTAACATCTTTCTGCCCTACATATGTTGGGGTTTTTTTGACAGTATTCAATTCCTGTAGTGTGTGAGGCTGGCTTTTATTAAACAGATACAAAAAAAAAAAAAAATACCCAGAACTGGAATCAAGCAGAATTATAAGATTGCAGCAGCAGTACAGAGCCAGCTTATTGCCCTTGTGATGGAAGAATGGTTTTCTAATTGTTGGTGAAAGCTAATGGAAACCATATTTTGGCTGTGAATAATTCTCAGGAGGGACCATTGTAAAATCTTACCTCATCTCTCATACTTCACTATATTTGTTTGATAGAACAAATCAAGTGTTCAAAAGCAGATGCACCTCATGAAGCTCAAAGTGCAGAAAACCACTGGTCAGTTCTAGGTACTAGAGAAAGGTGAATCTTTTGAGGGGTGAGTGGGCTTTACTGGCACCTCCTTGAGCTGCTGGAGACTGGTGCAGCTTTACCTTTGTCATGGCACGTCCATTGTGGGAGGAGTAGTGACTGATAAAGGGTAGAGGTTATGATGAAAGAATCCAGGAGCCAGCTAAAGATTTTCTTGCCCACAGACATCACAACTTTGCACTCAACTTTGTTGAGGGTGGAGAGTGTTTGAAAACTTATTCTGGTCACCATCATCTACTTCTGAGTTACCTGTAACTAAAAATGGGAAATGTGCTGCTAAAGTGATTTTTCAGTAAAGTCACGAATGAATTGAAGTTTTCAAATAAGGAAAGGTGTCAGTATAAACCAGCAGGAAAGGGATCCTGCCTGACATGTGTTCTTCAAAAGTTTATGCCTGTTAAGGCTATTGTATGTCTTAGAATTAGTTTTAATAATTTACATCATCAGTTGGTGAGATAGCAACCCTGTTTAGTGCTTCCTTGAGACAATCCTCTTTTTCCCTTGGAGGCTTGAAAAGCTTTTTCTGAAGTGTCCCCAGAGCTGCCTTAGGGGCTTCCATAACACCCATTGGCCATGACTCACTGTGGTTCTGCAGCTCCTTAAAAAGGGTGTTAGAGAAGTGGCCTGTTGCTCTCTGCTGAGCAGGTGGTGAGCTAGATTGTGTGCTCTATTAGGCTACACAAAAACAGGCTCACATTACTGTCACCTCCTCCCCATTCCCAGCCCACCTGTTTGGCTCATCTGCCTTGTTCTGCATCATCTTATGACTTGTCTTTAGTCTGCCTTGTGCCAGAAACTTTTTCATTAGGGATGGGGGTGTGTGTAGTACCTGCCGTGATAGAGCCTGGAGAGTATGGCACAGCTCCAGCACAGACAATAATGCTAATATTGCAAGGCTTTCCACACGTTTCCTGTGGACAAGAAGCTTTGCCACAGGAACAGCTCACTTTCCTTTTACAAGATGTTACTTTTCACAAAAGATAGTTAAATTTAAAAAATCAATGTAGCATAGATTTCACCCAATCTTTCAATAATGAACAGGACAAAACCAGTACCATGGGGTGCTCAGAAATGGCACAAAACCACAGTGCAAAGTGATGAGTGTTGTAGAGGCCCATCCTTCAAGAAAAGACACAGTCTGCATCTTTGTTGTAGAATGATTTAATCTTCTTTGCATAGAAGAATCATACTGTTTGTGCCTAAAATATTAAAAGATTTTCAGTGACCTGTGCTACTGTAAATCAGCATAGCTCTTGTCACTCCTATAGTGGTGTGCTAGCTGATACCTTAGAGACTGAGGTGGAAATTTGTTTTACTGAAAATACAGAGTACAGTAGCATATACATCCTGTTATGGGCATTTTATAGGTACATAGTGAGGAGGTTTTGTCCACTGCAGAATAGCTTATCTATACAAATATACAGCCCAGGCATGCAATAGCTGCTGTGCTTATTCTGAAATAAATTTATCTGAAGGACCTAAATTACTTAAGAAAAAGGAAAAAAATACTCCAGCTGATGAGTAAGTATCATAACGGGTGCTAAAATAATGCCATACACCTACTTCATTATTCAGTTACTTATTTATTATCGGTATTCTTAAAAGTAATGATGTAAAAGTGCTTTTTTCTAAATGTTAATTTAGTTCCCTGCAGATGGTAACCATCTGTTAAATGACAAGTCATTTACAGTATTCCATTAGCACTTTATATAGCTTGGATGGACCTATTGTTACAATAGATAAGTATAGTTGTGGAGGTGAAACTTGTTAGATTTGTTCTTTTCCTGTTGTTTGAGATGTTCCACATTTTTGGTTAACAACCTGTCAATATTTTTGTCTGTCTTCTCCTGTATTTGTAGATGTTTCAAGTTAAAGCCTGACACTCACAGGCCAGTTCACAAGGTACTCTTGAAAGAATGCAATACTAGGGAATACTGTGAAAGTCCAGCACCACTTGCAGCAATTATGAGCATCCTCACTCTAGTGTCACCCTGTGGATGGGCTCTCATTGTAGCTGAAGGAGAGCACTGGAAGCTTGAATGAATCTAAGAACCATGGCTTATTGAGTAGAAAACCCTCAGGCTGTGAGACTGCTGGGTACACTTACAGCAGCTTATGCTCCAAGTCTTGTTAAACTAGACAAAATTCAATATTGCACTATATCTTCATATTACCACCATAAAGGCATCTTCTTGCATGAACTACACGCTTCCTGTATTTTATACAATATACAGTATCTTGGTCAATGACAATGAGCCCACAATCTCTCCATAAACTAACCAAATTCTAATTATTTCTGTATTGTTTTCTTCTAAAGTTTCTTCAAGGTGTGATGCTAAACCTTAATTCGCTGGCCTGTTTTTATTATTGTAAAACTACTTTACACTTATTTCTGTGTTTCTAATAAAACTCATTAGGTATTTTCATTTGTATTTACTTTCAAGAGCTAAAAGAGCTGCCCCATGGCCCCGCTGCCCGGCGCCGAGCTGGTGCAGAGCTCGCTGCAGCTGTACCGCTACCTGCTCCGCTGCTGCAGGCAGCTGCCCGAGGAGAGCATTCGCCAGCATTACAGACATGCAGTCAGGCAGGTGAGAACAGGTGGCTTTTCTCTTCTGAATCTAGTGTGCCAGGGTTTGATTTGTTTTGGTTTTCTCCTCCTGCACTTTGGCCTATTTTTTTTTACCTCCTGGCACTTAAATTATTCTTCTGTAAGCCTGAAACATACTGGGTGGTGGATGAGTGGATTAGGTGCTACAATGTATATTTTACCTTTTCAAATCAACTGTTTGTTTGGGTCAAATATTTTCCTGGAGATTTAAAAGTGAAGGTTATTTTGGCTCCGGTGTGTTAAGGCGGCTGCTCGGTGTAACGCTGTGAATGTTTCAGAGTTTCAAAGTTCACGCTGATGAAGATGACCCTGAACGAATCCAGCAGATTATTAAGAGAGCCATTGAAGATGCTGACTGGGTCATGAATAAAGTAAGTGCATCAGATTGTCAAAGTTCTGCTCTCTCAGTTCAGATCAAAGCAGAAAAAAATTGGAAAGCCGATGAGGAGCAGCAAAAACTGTTCCATTGTCCTGGACATGGCAGTGTCTGGGTGAAAGGAAATACCCAGCCACGAGGGATTTAGGATTGTGATAGTTCTTGCTTAAAAATTCTTCCTTGTCGATGTAAATTTGTGTGGTTTTTAGAACTGATGATGCTTTCAGTTGGTGTGTCTATTGATCTTTGTTTCCATGAAGAATTCTGTTAGATTTCAGCAGTGATGGCTAGTGTAAATCTAGTACAGAAGAA